CTGCTTGCATGTATGTGTCAGTCCTAGGATTTGAACTCAATGCCTGGGCGCCGTCCCTGAGCTTTTACAAGGCTGGTGCTCTACCACTTGAAGTACAGCCTCACTTCTGGCTTTTTGGTGATTCCTTGGAGATGAGTCTTTGAATCTTCAGCCTGGGCTGGCTTTGAAGGGTAATCCTTAGAGCTCAGCCTCCTAAGTAGCTGGGATGACAGACATGAACCATCAGAAATGGTTAGGAGTTAGCTGGCAATACTAGATGACTGAGAAAGGCAAAGTTGAAGGTGATACTCTTCTATTTGGGAAAGTAGTGAGTTGGACTGGGCACCATTGCTGAGACAGGAAATCCTGGAGTAACAGCAGGTGTTTAAGTCAATTTTGACTTAAGCTTAGAAGTAGAAATATATCCATGAGTGTCAACAAGATCATTTAGCGATAATAAATTGAGAAAATGAAAGGAGTAATATCTAATCTCATGACAACATTTAAGAGCCAGACTAATTAAACTTGAGGACTGGGAAGGTGGCTCAGTGGTAGAGCGCTTGCCTTGCATGCATGAGGCCCTGGGTTCGATTCCTCAGCACCACATAAGCAAAAAGAAAAAAAGCTGGAAGTGGCGCTGTGGCTCAAGTGGTAGAGTGCTAGCCTTGAGCTGAAGAGCTGAGGGACAGTGCCCAGGCCCAGAGTTCAGGCCCCACGACCGGACCCAAAAAAAAAAAAAAGAAAACTTGAGAGATCCAGGAGCCGAAGGTTCATGCCTATAATCCTGCCTACACAGGAGGCTTAGATCTGAAGATTGAGGTTCAAATCCTACAAAGGCAGGAAAGTCCATGAGACACTTATCTCGAATAAACCTCCAGAAAACCAGAAGTGGCGCTGTGGCTCAAGTGGTAGAGCACTAGCCTTGAGCAGAAAAGCTGAGGGACAGGGCCCAGGCCCAGAGTTCAAGCCCCATGACTGACAAAAATAATAATTCAGAGGCAAAAAAAAAAAAGTGTGAAACCCTGAGTTTGAAACCTAGTATGCACACAAAACCAGTTTGAGGCCAGGCGCTGGTGGCTCCCCCTGTCATCCCAGCTACTCAGGAGGCTGAGATCTGAAGATTGCAGTTCAAAGCCAGCCAGGACAGGAAAGTTCATGAGACTCTTAACTCTAATTAACCATCAGAAAACCAGAAATGTCTTGGTGGCTCAAGTGGCAGAAATGCTGCTGAGGGACAGCGCCCAGGCCCAGAGTTCAAGCCCCACGACCAACCAGAATAAAAAAAGGCATGAAGGGGTCTCTGTGGCTCATTCATAGACTCCTGCTGCTGACTTGGTTTCTCTTTTTCCTAGGCATTGAAAACCTCCCCTTTGAGTTACAGAGGAACTTTCAGCTCATGAGGGATCTCGATCAAAGAACGGAGGGTACGTGCAGAGGAGGGTTCTTCCGCGCTCATCCTGTCTCTTCCGGCTTGCTGGCAGCTATAGCTCCTGGAATGATCTGGAGGACTATGACTTTATTACCTCCTGCACTTCCTAAAATCTCTTACCTGTTCCTGCAATTCTTTTTTTTCTTCTTCTTCTTCTTCTGTTAGTCCTGGGACTTGAACTCAGGGCCTAGGTGCTATCCTTGAGTTCTTTTTGCTCAGGGCTAGAGCTCTACCACTTTGAATCACAGTTCCACTTCTGATTTTAGAGTAGTTAATTGTCTTTTTCTTTTTTCTTTTTTTTCTTTGGTCCGGTCGTGGGGCCTGAACTCTGGGCCTGGGCGCTGTCCCTCAGCTCTTCAGCTCAAGGCTAGCGCTCTACCACTTGAGTCACAGCGCCACTTCTGGCTTTTTTCTTATGTAGTGCTGAGGAATCGAACCCAGGGCCTTGAGCATGCAAGGCAAGTGCTCTACCACTGAGCCACCTTCCCAGCCCTAGAGTAGTAGGAGATAAAGAGTTACAAACTTTCCTGTCTGGGGTGGCTTCTAACCTTGATCTTAGATCTCAGCCTCTCGAGTAGCTAGGATTTCAGGCTGTTCTTGCTTTGTTTTGTTTTGTTTTGCTAGTCCTGGGGCTTCAACTCAGAGCCTGGGCACTATCCTTGAACTTGTTTTGCTCAAGGCTAACGCTCTACCACTTGAGCCACAGCGCCACTTCTGGCTTTTACTGTGTATGTGGTACTGAGGACTGGAACCCAGGGCTTCACTCATGGTAGGCAAGCACCCTACCACTGAGCCACCTTCCCAGCCCATGTCCTTCCAATTAAGAGAGAGTATTAATGGTCCTCATTTCTTCATCAGCTTTTTCCATAATGTGAACTATTGAGACATTGTTTTCAGGATGCAGAGATGCTATGATCTTTCTACCTCCCTCAAGAAGAATTCTAGCCAGGCGCCAGTGGTTCATGCCTGTCATTCAAGCTACTCAGGAGCCTGAGATAGGAAGATCCGAGTTCAAAACCAGCCTAGGCAGGAGAGTGTGAGATTCTTTTTTTTTTTTTTTTGTCGGTCGTGGGGCTTGAACTCTGGGCCTGGGCGCTGTCCCTCAGCTCTTCAGCTCAAGGCGGGCGCTCTACCACTTGAGCCACAGCGCCACTTCCGGTTTTCTGGTGGTTTATTGGAGATAGGAGTCTCACGGTCTCTCCTGCCCGGGCTGGCTTTGAACCGCGATCCTCAGATCTCAGCCTCCTGAGTAGCTAGGATGACAGGTGTGAGCCACCAGCGCCCGGCCGAGAGTGTGAGATTCTTATCTCCAGTTGATTAACCAAAAGCTGGAAGTGGAGCTGTGGTTGAAGTGGTAGGGTACCCAGTCTTGAGCAAACCAGTTAAAGGAATGTGTCCAAGCCCTGAGTTCAAGTCGTCACACTGGCACATATATAAAAGAACTGTAGACAAGAAGGTTGGTCTGGAGGCGTGGCTCAGTGGTGCGCCGCCTGCCTAGCAAGCCGGAGGCCCAAGTTCAAACTCCAGAAAAATAAAACTGGAGATCCCAATGCTGACTCTAAAGTCATTTCTGCTACTCATTTGGATACATGGATGGAAGAATGAGAGTGTATCTTTTGTTACTGATAACCACCCCAGAGCTCACAGTAGGTCTTGTACTGCAAGTTCTTGCTGTAGTCAGGACCACTGCCATGGGAGAACTTCTTACAGAAGAAAAGAAAGAAGCCGGGCGCCGGGGCTCCCGCCTGTCATCCCAGCTACTCAGAAGGCTGAGATCTGAGGCTGGCAGTTCAAAGCCAGCCTGGGCGGGAAAGTCCATGAGACTCTGATCTCCCATGAACCACCAGAAAACCAGAAGTGGCGCTGTGGCTCAAGTGGTAGAGCACCAGCCTTGAGCAAAAGAAGCTCAGGGACAGTGCCCAGGCCCTCAGTTCAAGCCCCCGGACTAGCACACACAAAAAAAGTAAAGCTGACTGGGCACTGGTGGCTCACACCTGTCATCCTAGCTACTCAGGAGGCTGAGATCTGAGGATCACGGTTCAAAGCCAGCCCAGGCAGGAAAGTCTGTGAGACTCTGATCTCCAATAAACCACTAGTAAAAACTGGAAGTGGCGCTGTGGCTCAAGTGGTAGATCGCTCGCCTTGAGCTGAAGAGCTGAGGGACAGCGCCCAGGCCCCGAGTTCAAGCCCCATGACCAACAAAGACGAAAAAAGTAAAGCTAAGCCTGAACTGAACTCTGGGTAAGTTTGCACACACTGGGCATCGACCCATGAGAACTGCCTCCCTAATGGTGAGAGCCAGGTGACTTTCTTTCTAGAACCTTCCTAACTCCTGCGTCCTTCCGTAAAGGCCAGCTGGAAATGATGAGATTGCCAGGAAGGCAGTGGAGCACAAATATTGCGTGTTTACCCCGCTCCCGGCTCGCTGTGGCGCTTTGCATGTTCTTTTCTGTTCGGTTCTTTTCTGTCTGTTTCCTTTTGCCATTTTTATGACCTTGTCAAATGTCAGGGAACAGCATCATTGTTAGCTCAGGACATTGAGAACCTTCCAGAATTCACTGTTAGGAGCAAAATCTAAGAGACAAATGCAGAGCAGGGAAAGCAGAAAAGGAAGCAGCGCTGTTCTCAGCTCTGCAGGGACAGAGGTAGATGTGAGGGTTATGAGTTCAAGGCCAGCCTGGAACAGTGGCAAGACCTTACCTCAATAGAGTGTCTGGGCTGGGCAGGTGGCTCAGTGGTAGTGCTAGCCTAGCATGCATGAAGTCCTGGGTTCGATTCCTCAGTACCACATACACAGAAAAAGCCGGAAGTAGCACTGCGGCTCAAGTGGTGAGACACCAGCCTTCTGTACAAAAGCTCAGGGACAACACCCAGACCCCGAGTTCAAGCCCCAGGTCTGGCAAAAGAAACAAAATAAGAAGAGTTGGGGGAAGGGGAGCAGGTGGGAGGAAGCTGGCCGGGCGCTGGTGGCTCAGGCCAGTCATCCCAGCTACTCAGGAGGCTGAGATCTAAAGATCACAGTTCAAAGCCATCCCGGGCAAGAAAGTCCATGAGACTCTGATCTCCCATGAACTACCAGAAAACTGGAAGTGGTGCTGTGGCTCAAGTGGTAGAGCGCTCACCTTGAGCTGAATTGCTGAGGGACAGCGCCCAGGCCCAGAGTTCAAGCCCCACAACCAAAAGAAAAAAAAATGGACTCCAAGGCCCAGTCCTGTCACCACCCCCCCTCCAAAAGGGAAAGAAAAAAAAGGCAAAAGGAAAAGAACTGCTTTAAGTTGTTTTTAAGACAAGAAGATGGTTTTTGGAATTAAAAACAAAAAAAAGCCTCAAGTCTCCCAACACATCTTTAAGCTATGCCACTGGAGCTCACTCCTGTAATCCCAGCTCCTCAGGAGGCTGCAATCCGAGGGCCACAGTTTGAAGTCACCCCAGGCAGGAAAGTCCCTGAGGCTTCTCATGTCCAAGTAACCACCAAAAAATCAGAGGCCGGGGGCGTGGCTCAGGTGGTGGAGCACCAGGCTTGAGCAGAAAAAGCCAAGGGAGAGCACAGGGCTGCGGGTTCCAGGGCTGGTGGCATTACTGCATACAGTCGCCATAGGTTCTGTGTAGACGGGAGCCAGCCTCTGTCTGTGCTGCAGATCTGAAGGCCGAGATCGACAAGCTGGCCACCGAGTACGTGAGCAGCGCGCGCAGCCTCAGCTCCGAGGAGAAGTTGGTTCTGCTTCGGCAGATCCAGGAAGCCTACGGCAAGTGCAAAGAGTTTGGTGATGACAAGGTGCAACTCGCCATGCAGACCTATGAGATGGTACGCGTCCGCCCCCCCCCCCGCCGCCGCCCTTCTGCAGCGACCCCAGGGCCTTAGACCCTGCTGTGTTTGCTTTGGTTGGTTTGGTGTTGGATCCGAGCCAGCTGGGCCTGTTTCCTGGTCCTTAGAACCAAACTCTCCCCCCCCCCATCTCCCTTTGCCCACCAGGTGGACAAACACATCCGACGGCTGGACACGGACCTGGCCCGCTTCGAGGCAGATCTGAAAGAGAAGCAGATGGAATCCAGTGACTACGACAGTTCTTCCAGCAAAGGCAAAAAGAGCGGGCAGGGGGGTGGGGTGGAGGGGGGGAGGCGGAAGACATGCTGGGCACTGCCAGGGTGGAAAGTGGGCCAGGTGAGGAGCTGGGCGCCCGTGGCTCTTGCCCGTCCATGCCTAGCCACTCGGGAGGCTGAGATCCAGAGGATCGCAGTTCAAAGCCAGCGCCGTGAGACTCTGATCTCCAATAAACCACCAGAAAAGCAGAAGTGGCACTGTGGCTCAAGGGGCAGAGCGCCAGCCTGGAGCTGAAGAGCTGAGGGACAGCGCCCAGGTCCCAAGTTCAAGCCCCAGGACTGACCCAACAAAAAGAAGTTTCTCATCCCGCATGCCCCCCTCCCCCCATCCCCACCTCATCTCTCTGTCTCCGCTAGAAGGCAGGAGCCAAAAGGAGAAGAAGGCCGCGCGGGCTCGCTGTAAGGGCAAGAACTCGGATGAGGATGTCCCCAAAGCCACCCAGAAAAAGCTAAAACTCGTGCGCTCGTGAGTGCCCGGCCAGGCCCACCCTGCCCCGCCGCCTTGGTCCCCTTGCCCCCCCCCCCGGGTACAGACCGGAGAAGAGCTAGGAGAGGTCACCCCGCCGTGCCCCCCCCCACGGCCTCCTCCCTGGCGACTCGGGGAGCCTCAGGTGGCAGGGGCCGCTGACCCTGTCTCTTCCTCTTGGAACGCAGAAGTCCTGAATATGGGAAGCCCTCAGTGACCTTTGGCAGTGTCCACCCCTCTGATGTGTTGGATATGCCCGTGGACCCCAACGAGCCCACATATTGCCTTTGTCACCAGGTCTCCTATGGAGAGATGATCGGCTGTGACAACCCGGACGTGAGCTTCCTTTTTCTTTTTTTTCTTTTTTTTTTTGGCCTTTGTGCAGAGAAGGGGGGTGGGGGGAGGCAGGGGGAGAATGGGAGTGATCTCCTTTAATAGCCAGAAATACCCCTACCCCGTCCCGTGGCACACACCTGTAATCCCAGCCACCCAGGAGGCTGAGATCTGAACATGGCGGTCCAAAGCCAAGTCCAGGCTGTGAGACTCATCCCCAATAGAAAATAAAGCAAGCCCGAAATGGAGCTGTGGCTCCACTCCAGGTGCCAGCCTGGAGTGAAAAGAGCCAAGTGAGACCCCCCCCCAAGGCCCTGAGTTCAAGCCCCAGCAGTCACATACACACACAAAAGAGGGTGACTCTTCAGAATACAAGGGTGGTGGTTGGGGTTGTGTAGCCCTGGGACTTTGCCTGGAGGGACAGAATAACTCCCGGCTAAGGGCTGTGCCTGCCCGGCCTCCCTCTCAGCCTCCCTGGTCCCTTACTGCCCTGGCCTCTGCCTTTCTCAGTGTTCCATTGAGTGGTTCCATTTTGCCTGTGTGGGACTTACCACCAAACCTCGCGGGAAATGGTAAGTCCTGAGGCCCGCGCAGCCCTCACCCTCCCCTCCTGCTCTCCCCTGCCAATCCGAGCGGTGGAAGCCTTCTCTGCCCCCCCCCCCCCCCCCCCCCGTCCCCCTCTCCTCCCTTGCCGACTCTCAGGTTTTGCCCACGCTGCTCCCAAGAACGGAAGAAGAAATAGATGAAGACCAAGACCCATTTCCACAGCCCCCCGATCTGGACTTGGGAAGCGAGGATCGCCTGAGCTAGCGGCCCCGGGGGAGGGGGTGCCCAGGGAAACGTGAATGGGGGGGCTGCCGTTCCCCCCCTTCTCCTCCCCTCTCCCCCTCCCCCTTCCTGGTGCTGAGGCGGCGCCAGCCCTGGGAGAGCCGCAGCCGACGGCGGGGCCGCGCTCAAACCATCCTTGCCCGCCTTGCGCTCAAACCATCCTTGCCCGCCTTTGCGTCCGAGACGTGGGTGCTGCTGTGCAGGGCGGGGGGGTCCTGCTCCCGTCCCTTGTGTGCGGGGCGGACTTGCAGGCACCCCCAACCCCTAGTCTACCCTCCCCCTTGGGGTGGGGGCTGGTGTGAGATTTTCTCCTCCATTCTTTCCAATTTTTCATGGTGAGGGGTCCCCCAGGTCCCTGGGGCGAGGGGCGCCTCCTTCCTCTGAGCCAAAGGGGATGGCGGATCCCGACCCTGAATGAATGAGGACGGGGCAGGCGCCGTGGCTCGCCGACGGTTCACCTGTTCAGGACCTGGGTAGGTAACTCAAAGCCGGCCGCGGGCGCGCGCATGCGCGGGCCTGCCGCCGCGGCGCAGACGCAGCCTGGCGGATCTCGGCCGAGCGTCACCTCCGCCTCCAGCGTTGGATGGGGAGGATGGGGTGCTAGGAGGGAGCCCAGATGAAATCCTGGGGGTGGGGTGCCCCTGTGCTGGCCTCCACCATTTCTGGAACTTGCTAAACTGTGCGTCTATTCTCCATCAAACATTGCCCACTAATTTTTTTTTTCCAATAAAATGATGTATTTGCGTTACCTGTGCTGGTGTGACTTCGTGTCTCTGTGTGTGTGTGAGAGAGAGAGTCACAGCCTGGGCGCCGGCCTGGGCTTTTGTGCTCGAGGCTGGTGCTCTACCGCTTGAGCCGCAGCTCCGCTTCCAGCTTTTTGGTGATTCGTTGGAGATAGGCTGGCAGACTTCGCTGCTGGGGCTGGTTTTGAACCGCCTTGGTGAGATCTCAGCCTCCTGAGTAGCCGGGGTGACAGGCATGCGCCCGCCGTGCCCGCCTGGCCGCCTGCTTTTTTGCTTTTCCTTCTCATCTGCTACCCTGGGGGTCCCCCAGTTCCCTCCGGATCCCCCCTTAACTCCTCCAGGCTCTGGGATCACCCCGGGAGCCCTGCCCGGAACCCTGGGCCTGCGCCAGTGAAGACCAGATTAGGCCTGCGGGGTTCCTGGGGCTCCTGTGGTCCTGTCCTATACCTGGGCGGGGCCTCCTGTCTACCACCTGTCAGCTGTCACCAGGCCCTGGGCGGAGCCTCCTAGCCCACCTGTCCAGCTCAGGCCCCGCCCCTCACCTCCTGCTAGTCCCCGCCCTTGTGCAGGCCCCGCCCTTCCCCCTCCACCTGTCCAGCTCAGGCCCCGCCCCTCACCTGCTAGTCCCCGCCCTTGTGCAGGCCCCGCCCTTCCCCCTCCACCTGTCCCAGCGCAGCCCCCACCCATCTACACAGGGCCCGCCCCTCGCCTCTGGTCCACCATCTGTCAGCGCAGGCCCCGTCCCTCGCCTCCCGCCAGTCCCCGCCCTTGTGCAGGCCCCGCCCCTCACCTCTCATCCACCACCTGTCACAGCGCAGGCCCCACCCACCTCCTGCACAGGGCCCGCCCCTCGCCTCTGGTCCACCACCTGTCAGCGCAGGCCCCGCCCCTCGCCTCCTACTCGGTACTCTCCCCTGTGCAGCCCCCCTGGCCTGGCTCCGCCCCGTGCCAGGCCCCGCCCCCATCAGGCCCTGCCAGTCACCCACCCCCTCACCTGTGCAGGCCCCGCCCCTCCAGGCCTCGCCCCTCCCTTGCAAACCCCGCCCCTCGCCTGGCCCCGCCCCTCACCCTGCCCCGCCCCTTGCGAAGCCCCACCCCTTGCTTGGCCTTTATGACGCCAGACGGCTCCCGCCGTCCCCCGAACACGCAGGTGGTCTCGGGGCGACATGGGGTGGCTCGCAGCCCGCGTCTTCCTGGCCCTCCTGAAAGGTGAGGCCCCGTCCCGTCCAGATCGTCCCCTCTGCACCCCCAAACCTCCGGCCCTGGGTCCCACGCGGCCCCTCTCGTGGGGGTTCCGCCCTGGGGCCCCCATGCGCTTACCTGGGCGTCAGGGTGCTCGGCCCCGCTCTGTTCGCGGGGCGGGGGTGGATTTGGGGGTTCGCCCGTCCATCCACGCGTGCCCCGCCCCCACCCAGCGCTGCTGTCGGCCGCGGCCCTGGACTCGCCGTCCACGGCCACGCCCGGGAGCCCGCTGTCCCCCACCGAGTACGAGCGCTTCTTCGCGCTGCTGACGCCCACGTGGAAGGCGGAGACCACGTGCCGCCTGCGCGCCACGCACGGCTGCCGCAACCCCACGCTGGTGCAGCTGGACCAGTACGAGAACCACGGGCTGGTGCCGGACGGTGAGGGCGGGGCCGGGGCGGGGCGAGGATGGAGGGGGCGGGGCGAGAGAGGAGGGCGGGG